CGCTCCATGCAGCGCTGCCCCTTTGAAACGCCACTCCCGCCAGGCGCCTCCTGCAGGGAGCACAGGCCAGGGGACACCCGGCAGGCCTGGGCCCCCCCGCTCCATGCAGCGCTGCCCCTTTGAAACGCCACTCCCGCCAGGCGCCTCCTGCAGGGAGCACAGGCCAGGGGACACCCGGCAGGCCTGGGCCCCCCCGCTCCATGCAGCGCTGCCCCTTTGAAACGCCACTCCCGCCAGGCGCCTCCTGCAGGGAGCACAGGCCAGGGGACACCCGGCAGGCCTGGGCCCCCCCGCTCCATGCAGCGCTGCCCCTTTGAAACGCCACTCCCGCCAGGCGCCTCCTGCAGGGAGCACAGGCCAGGGGACACCCGGCAGGCCTGGGCCCCCCCGCTCCATGCAGCGCTGCCCCTTTGAAACGCCACTCCCGCCAGGCGCCTCCTGCAGGGAGCACAGGCCAGGGGACACCCGGCAGGCCTGGGCCCCCCCGCTCCATGCAGCGCTGCCCCTTTGAAACGCCACTCCCGCCAGGCGCCTCCTGCAGGGAGCACAGGCCAGGGGACACCCGGCAGGCCTGGGCCCCCCCGCTCCATGCAGCGCTGCCCCTTTGAAACGCCACTCCCGCCAGGCGCCTCCTGCAGGGAGCACAGGCCAGGGGACACCCGGCAGGCCTGGGCCCCCCCGCTCCATGCAGCGCTGCCCCTTTGAAACGCCACTCCCGCCAGGCGCCTCCTGCAGGGAGCACAGGCCAGGGGACACCCGGCAGGCCTGGGCCCCCCCGCTCCATGCAGCGCTGCCCCTTTGAAACGCCACTCCCGCCAGGCGCCTCCTGCAGGGAGCACAGGCCAGGGGACACCCGGCAGGCCTGGGCCCCCCCGCTCCATGCAGCGCTGCCCCTTTGAAACGCCACTCCCGCCAGGCGCCTCCTGCAGGGAGCACAGGCCAGGGGACACCCGGCAGGCCTGGGCCCCCCCGCTCCATGCAGCGCTGCCCCTTTGAAACGCCACTCCCGCCAGGCGCCTCCTGCAGGGAGCACAGGCCAGGGGACACCCGGCAGGCCTGGGCCCCCCCGCTCCATGCAGCGCTGCCCCTTTGAAACGCCACTCCCGCCAGGCGCCTCCTGCAGGGAGCACAGGCCAGGGGACACCCGGCAGGCCTGGGCCCCCCCGCTCCATGCAGCGCTGCCCCTTTGAAACGCCACTCCCGCCAGGCGCCTCCTGCAGGGAGCACAGGCCAGGGGACACCCGGCAGGCCTGGGCCCCCCCGCTCCATGCAGCGCTGCCCCTTTGAAACGCCACTCCCGCCAGGCGCCTCCTGCAGGGAGCACAGGCCAGGGGACACCCGGCAGGCCTGGGCCCCCCCGCTCCATGCAGCGCTGCCCCTTTGAAACGCCACTCCCGCCAGGCGCCTCCTGCAGGGAGCACAGGCCAGGGGACACCCGGCAGGCCTGGGCCCCCCCGCTCCATGCAGCGCTGCCCCTTTGAAACGCCACTCCCGCCAGGCGCCTCCTGCAGGGAGCACAGGCCAGGGGACACCCGGCAGGCCTGGGCCCCCCCGCTCCATGCAGCGCTGCCCCTTTGAAACGCCACTCCCGCCAGGCGCCTCCTGCAGGGAGCACAGGCCAGGGGACACCCGGCAGGCCTGGGCCCCCCCGCTCCATGCAGCGCTGCCCCTTTGAAACGCCACTCCCGCCAGGCGCCTCCTGCAGGGAGCACAGGCCAGGGGACACCCGGCAGGCCTGGGCCCCCCCGCTCCATGCAGCGCTGCCCCTTTGAAACGCCACTCCCGCCAGGCGCCTCCTGCAGGGAGCACAGGCCAGGGGACACCCGGCAGGCCTGGGCCCCCCCGCTCCATGCAGCGCTGCCCCTTTGAAACGCCACTCCCGCCAGGCGCCTCCTGCAGGGAGCACAGGCCAGGGGACACCCGGCAGGCCTGGGCCCCCCCGCTCCATGCAGCGCTGCCCCTTTGAAACGCCACTCCCGCCAGGCGCCTCCTGCAGGGAGCACAGGCCAGGGGACACCCGGCAGGCCTGGGCCCCCCCGCTCCATGCAGCGCTGCCCCTTTGAAACGCCACTCCCGCCAGGCGCCTCCTGCAGGGAGCACAGGCCAGGGGACACCCGGCAGGCCTGGGCCCCCCCGCTCCATGCAGCGCTGCCCCTTTGAAACGCCACTCCCGCCAGGCGCCTCCTGCAGGGAGCACAGGCCAGGGGACACCCGGCAGGCCTGGGCCCCCCCGCTCCATGCAGCGCTGCCCCTTTGAAACGCCACTCCCGCCAGGCGCCTCCTGCAGGGAGCACAGGCCAGGGGACACCCGGCAGGCCTGGGCCCCCCCGCTCCATGCAGCGCTGCCCCTTTGAAACGCCACTCCCGCCAGGCGCCTCCTGCAGGGAGCACAGGCCAGGGGACACCCGGCAGGCCTGGGCCCCCCCGCTCCATGCAGCGCTGCCCCTTTGAAACGCCACTCCCGCCAGGCGCCTCCTGCAGGGAGCACAGGCCAGGGGACACCCGGCAGGCCTGGGCCCCCCCGCTCCATGCAGCGCTGCCCCTTTGAAACGCCACTCCCGCCAGGCGCCTCCTGCAGGGAGCACAGGCCAGGGGACACCCGGCAGGCCTGGGCTCCCCCCCTGCTCCATGCAGCGCTGCCGCTTTGAAACGCCACTCCCATCAGGCGCCTCCGCCTGCAGGGAGCACAGGCCAGGGGACACCCGGCAGGCCTGGGCTCCCCCCCCGCTCCATGCAGCGCTGCTGCTTTGAAACGCCACTCCCATCCTGGCCCCGGGCTGCACTTGCCATGTGAAAGCAGCAGCTCTGGTGGAGCTCAGGGTCTGCCCCTGGACTCCTCATGGCGCTGCTACTTTGAAGCACCCCCTCCTCTTTTCCCCAACCTTGCTGTCTCTTTTTGATAGAGGAGGAGGGGAAGAGCAACTAGTTGACTAGTGTGTTGATTATCTAATAAACATTTGCTTATTACATAGTCAGTTGTTTGTTCACATCCGTAATTCATAGCTCTAGCATTTGGTTCTCTTATACCCATAGAATGAGCCTGGCTCATGTTGGTTATGGATAGTAATAACATTATCATTCATTATAGCTCAGAGTTATTTACACACTTGCCTTTGCCTTTACTAAATTTTAGGATATACTTAAAATTATGGTCATACACATTATGCTTAGAAATGATAACTCACGTGACAATATTTATATTTGATGCTTGTTTAAAATAATAAGGGTATAAGCTAATACACTATACAAGCACTTGCTAGTAAACCTCTGCCTTCCTTCAATTTGTTGACAGACAACAAAAGTATCAAGTTTGGCACTTCTTTAGCCATAAAACCTTATTATTTCCTCCAACTCTATTGATCTTGGAATGCAAATTTATAACTCCATTTTGCTTTTAACTTTCTGTAGTCTTTTCTTTATATTATGTTTGAGAGGGAATTTTAGTTACTGTGATTTTTGTATTTGGTTGCAAAGTGTGTGATTGGTACAAATGATAGATTGTAAATATTAGAACCATTTGGTTAAAAGACTAACATCAGGACATCTTTTCCTTGTTCATAACACCAGCCTGGCCCTGAAAAGAAACAGAAATATTTATGTTCTCATTGAGAAGGTGAAAAAATGGGAAAGGATATTTATTTTAGAAAAGCCAAAGAAGAGCAATATTTAGACATTACACATATCTGACCATAGAAACATCAGCTTAAGTCCTCTGCTGCTTCACTTCTCACCCCCATTCATTGCAAAGAGAAATTCTTTGCTTGAACCCACACAAACAATCCCCAAAATATTCTTGTTAAAACTGATTTGTTTATAAATACTTAACACAGTTAAAAGAACTAGGGGATGGTGCCCCCTCTTGCTATGCTTGCCAACCCCCCTCTCTGGGGACAGGCATCCCCGCCTCCGCCCCGGCCGCCAGGGAGGATCAGCCCAAGGTGTGGCAGCTCTGGCTCGCCCTGGCTCTTTCTCCCCTGCCCACCAGACCCTCTCCACGAAGGCCAGGCCAGCTCTGGCTATCCACCGGCTCTGGCCTCCGGAGGGGGGGGCCAGGCCAAGGCTGCGGCTGCGGCTGGCCCAGCTCTCTCCCTCCGGCCACTGGGGGGAGGGGTTGGCCTGGGCCTGACCTGGACCAGGCCAAGGCCACAGCCAGCCCAGCTCACTCCCTCTGGCAGCCAGGGTCTTGGACTGGGCTGAGGCTCCCCCCGCTCCCTTTGAGGCCATGGACGGTCCGAGGCTGCCCGGGCCATGGCTCTTGCCCCCCCGTCCTCAGCCCTGAAGTCACCCCAGTGCTTGCCCTTCTCACCCCTACTCTTGCCCCCCTGGCCTCTTTACCCCTCCTCCCCATTGGCCCCAGCTCTTCCCTCCTACCCCCAGCTCTGAGGCTTCGCTGGCCCCAAGTCTGCTCCTGCTCTTCCCCCACCTCCCAGGCACCAGGGGAAAGGGAGGCCTGTCCAGGCAATTTTTTTATATATATAAAGAGAACTTTTGAAGCTATACTGTGTTTTCTCAAAGTTTAGTTACTTACATGCTTCCCATTTGACGGTGAAACACTTTTTTATTTAGATTAGAGTTGTTAAAATGTATTTAAACATGTAACTGCTGAAAAAAATGCAGTGGTTACATGTTGGTAGGAGGCAGGCAGCTCCCTGGTTCACCATTTACTTGGTTACACTTTCATATCCCTAATTTAAATGATTAAGAAGGTGTAAGTTTTATTTGAATTGTTTATCTGCAAATTTTTTGTAAGCAAGCCTTTCATAGGATTAGTGTCCTGTTCCATAGCCAATATGGATTCAAAAGTCACCTTAGTATGTAACTGATTACTAATATAAGAAACTATTTGAATACAGATTGGTGATAGAAATGTAGCCGTGTTAGTCTGGGGTAGTTGAAGCAAAATGCAGGACAATGTAGCACTTTAAAGACTAACAAGATGGTTTATTAGATGATGAGCTTTCGTGGGCCAGACCCACTTCCTCAGATCAAATAGTGGAAGAAAGTAGTCACAACCATATATACCAAAGGATACAATTAAAAAAAATGAACCAATGTATTTGAATACACATATTGATATTAATGGTGCATTTATTACCTAGCTATGCATAAGCAAACTTGCGCACCAAAATGAGCGAGGCAAGAAAAACCTGTTTCCAGGCTCCTTCAGAAGGAAATAATACCTTCTCTGATTATCTAATTTAAAGAGACTCTTTAAGAATCAAATAAAGAATAAAATAAAGGAGTATTTTAAAAGCTGAAATACTTTTAAGTGGAAAATAGCGTTTGGGCACATCTGAAGAAGAATTTTAACAACAGAGGAGCTAAAATGATAGCCCAAATGTAATGATTAGAAGAAAGAGCTTAAGCTCTTAACGTTGAAGATGTTTGAGGTTTTTCTCATTACAAAACAAAAGCAATAAAACGCTAACCCCAGTTAGACTGCATATAGAGGAGTTGAAGAAGCTATTTGAACCAGCCCAGGAAGTTATAAGCCAATGGAATGTGACACAGACTGATATTTGAATCCTACAAACACCCTGAAAGCGATGCATGTTCTTCCTTCAGTGAGAGTGTGGAAAGAAGGTTTGGGGAGCAATAGATGGTTCCTGTGCTCCTATCTTTTAACTTGAACAGGCTCATCCCATCCCACATCTTTGTGTCAACATCTCTACAAGCCAGTAGCAGCAGCAAGACAGCTGTGAGCAGAGAACAAAAGCAGCCAGAACACAGCATCAGGAAGAAGCAGCTTCCAGTGCAGCATTGTGATTGGGTTCACCACAGCCTCAGCACTATGAGATCAAGCTTGTCAAACCACTGCCATGGTATTAGGTTTGAATTACTCTTGGAGTGATTTTAATGGGCTCTGGAAATGGCATTGTGTAAGTTTAGATTCAAACTGTTTATCCAGTTAAATACTAGAAGAGTTATGCTGTGCATTCCTGAATAGAAGACACTGAGGTTAGGGTTGTACATCCCTTAACCCTAACTGTTAAGCCTTACCTGTTAACGGGTGTAGGCTGGAACAGCCTGCCACTGGCACCGGCTGCTCTGGTGTCCGGAGCAGCCTCCGTGGCCTTGGTAAAACAGGGAGATAGCGGGATTTGATATTTGCCCATCTCAAGGCCACTCTTTAAAGTACGTTGCTGTGTTTTAAGAAATGTTGCTAATTGATGAGTAATTTCTTGAATGGCTGATTTTAAATAACTAAATTAAATGCTCTCTTTGGTTTCATTGGATTTAGGTAAGTACCCTTACCTTTGTCCATCCATCCATTATTTATATATTCTTTGCTGAAACAAAATAAGATTTATTCATGTGCATACTAAGGATGTTAATTGGCTAATCGCGTAGTCGATGCAATTGCTGCAGCTCTGAGTTTAAATGTAGTAGGAGCCAGGTGCGCAGGCAGCCCAGCTCCTACTATAGGAGTCTCCAACCTTTTTATGCATGAGATCACTTTTTGAATTTAAGTGCAATCCAGGATGAACCTCAAACCCAACACCCTTGCCCTGCCTCTTTCCCGTCCCTTCTCCGTGGCCCCACCCCTTCTCTCTCCATCCTCCCTCCCCCATCCTCACTCGTTTTATCAGGCTGTGAGCAGGAGTTTGGGGTGCATTAGGGGTTCAGGTTCAAAATGTGGGCGCCAGCTTGGCACTGCTTACCACAGGTGGCTTCTGGGTGGTGGTGCAGGGACTAAGGCAGGCTCACCCCTACTATGGTCCTGCACCACTCCCAAAAGCAGCCAGTAAGCTCTCTCCATCCCTCCTCTGCTCTGTGGAGATGGGGTACAGGTTGGAGGGAGGGGCACCCTGACATATGTGCCCCTCATTCCTCTCTTCCGGTGCCCTGCACAGCAAGCAGAAGGCTCCCAGGGTGAGGGGCGCCTCCAAAGCAGAGGGCAGGAGCAGCATGTCAGTGCTGAGAGGGGCAGATGAAGTGCCAGCACTTGACAGCCTTTGGCCAAACCTCTACTGGTTGGTGACCACTGTCCTACTACAATTAAATTGCAGAGCCACAGCAAGGGTTATGTGGATCCCGGATTGCTGCGCAGACTTCTGCCTTCCCTTCCCTCTCCTCTCCCCGCCATGGAGAGGGTGCTGGGGGAAGCAGCTTTTAAGGTGGCTCCCACCGGCTTCTGCTTCCCCCAGTCCCCACTGCCTCTGATAGAGGCAGCGGGGTGGGGGAGGGGGCGAGTAGTCAGCTAGTGACCTGACTACCCAATAAGCATAGGCTTAATGGCAGACGACTACTCAACTAGTCGCTTACATCCCTAGCGCGTACCCAGATATGTATAATATGCCAAGACAAGGTTGACTATTGAATTTTGGAGAATAATGTATTAGGGTCTTCGCTTACCTAAAGAAAAGTGTCTCCCCATCAGAGGTGGAGCCATTTTTACTTTACGTCCGCTGACAAAAAGCATTAAGTGTCAGAAACTGACTACCTTACAGAGAAGTTCTGGGAGGAAAGCATTAATAGGCTTCTGAGGGTGTGCTGAAGACATAAGAAAGTGTAATTTCTGTACTGAACTAGTCATCCAACTAAAGAGGTGTAGGTGCTCTGAATAAAAGTTCCGATTGTGGTTTATAACTAAATTAACAGCTTCTTTGAGCTTTCCGTTTTGGGATAAAGAGGTTTGCTGTGTTAATTTGATGGCTTGATTAAACTCATGCTTTCATGCCAATATTGCTGCTAATGGCAGTTTCTGATCTTAATATGATGATTGCATTGTTTTGTCCATAATTGGTTTGATATAGCCTAATCTTTGTGGTATGTTCTAAAATTCATAAAAAGTATATTGGGTTCCTTCAGTAAGTAATTTGGGTCAGAGCCCTAGAGAACCTCTCTGTATCAGATGATCCAGCTTAGTTCCCCGTTAGCTTCTTTCTTAAATTAACCTAGTTCTCACCTGCCATTCCTTGTTTCTGTCTAGACTATACATTTTAGTAACATTGGAATAAAATTCCTGGATGCTCAACTCTTTCTTGCCTGTGTCCCTTGGGTGAATAGATTCAAACACTTCTGCGTAGTGGCAGGAAGCAAAAATGTCCCAGGTGTTCGCTAAAGGCACACATCCAATTCAACAGAAGTATATGCAAGGACAGAAATATGATGCAGGCTAGACGGTGACCCTGTCTTCTTCCCCTCTCTCTGACTTATCTGCCTCTCTCTCCTATACATCAGCCTGTCTCTTTCTTGGGATTGCAGCCTTCAGCAGAACTGTCACTCAGGTGAGTGTAGAAAGAAGTGGTGCATTTTGACCCTTCTTTGTTTTGTTTCCAGGCTCCAGTTGGATGGGACAATGTCCTTACAAGAGTTAATCCGGGAGGATTTCCTGACCTGCAAAATCTGCTATGATCTCTACACAGTGCCAAAAATCCTTCCATGTCTACACAGTTACTGCCAGCATTGTCTGGAACCAGTAGTGAGGGATGGATCCCTCCAGTGTCCTGAGTGCCGACTGAAAACAGGTGTCCCAGGAGGTGCCTCAAGTCTGAAAACAAACTTCTTCATCAACAGCCTCCTGGAGTTATTCCAGATTAAACACAACAGGGACTTGGCCTGCACAGTCTGCTCAGATGCCCAGAAAATTGTGACTGCCACTGCTCGTTGCCTAGACTGCAAAGATTTCTTGTGCCAGTCCTGCAACCAGGGCCACTGCTGCTCCCGTCTCACTCTTCATCACAGGGTGGTGAAGCTGGAGGAGTTTCTTGCTGGGGGATATGATGCTGAGATGAGGCTGCTGCAGGAGCTGTGCTGCCAGGACCATCAACAAGAAGCACTCCGATTCTTCTGTGACACCTGCAGCACTCCCATCTGCAGGGACTGCCGCATGCTAGACCATTTCCAGCACAAGGTAGTCTCCATGGCAAATGCTGTACAGCGAGAGAGGCCTTCTGTCGAGCAGCTAATTCAGAGCCTGGAGGGAACGGTTACATGCATCTCTGAGCAGGAAAAAGCTGTGGAAGAGACGATAGATAAGTTGAAGACATCAGGAGAGAACATAAAAGAGAGGATCACCAAGTATGTGGATGACCTTATCTCCTACGTCCTGGCCCAGAAAGAAGCCGTGCTGGGCGAGCTGTCTGCTTTCCTGACTCAGCAAATGGAAGGCTGTCGCCTGGTGAAAGAGGAGCTCCAGAGCCAGAGAGAGAAGGCAGTCAGCACCAAGGAGTTCTCTCAAAGGGTCCTTTCTGTGGGAAAGGACTATGAGATCTTACACTTGGAGGGCATGATAAGGAATCGGATTCAGGAGCTCCAGACATATATCCCACGGAAACTAGAGCGCCAGATCCCTGAATTGACCATAGCCTGGGATCAGCCGGAAATGCAGTCTGAGGCAGCACTCTTCAGTCTTGTGTTTCCCGGGGAACAGCCTGAGGGAGACACGGAAACTGTTTTTGAGCCAGCTAGCGAGGTATCTGCCTCCCCCAGCGAGGAGTCTGAGGTTGAGCTAAACTCACCTTTGGATTCAGAGGAGGACTCGTGTCCAAGCTCTGAAGAGAGTGCTCTTGGCACCCCTGCCAAGGACCCCTCTTATTGTAATAGGCACAGGAAAAGGCCTAAGCGTGTCTGCACTTTTGAGGTAGACCAGAGCTGCTCCCAAGAAAAGCCCAATATCACTGGCATTGCAGTTCTGCCTCACACTGGTGGCATTCTCCTGTTGGATCAGGAGAATGATGAGATAAAGCAGTATGGTGCTGATGGGCACTTGGAACAATCAATACCTCTGCCAGACTCGGATGGAGTCTTTACTGGCATTTCGCTCTGTGGAGACATCCTGGCTTGTTCTTCAGATTCTTTCCTGTTCTTCCTGACCCTTGAGGGCAAGTTTCTGCACAAATTGCTTCTAAGGGGATCAGAGTCTTCCTATGCCATCACCTCCTATGAGGACTCCTATGTTGCTGTGAGTGAGGGCACGCTCTGCTCCATCTCCCTTTACAGCCCTTCAGGAGCCTGCGTGGGCAGGGTGGAGCCCAGAGATTACCGTGGGGGGAAGTTCCTTTTCATTGCTGTCAATGCCTGGGAAGAATTCATTGTCTCAGACTTCATCAAGAAGCAGATTGTCATCATTGAGAGGTCTGGACTGATTCTCAATGTGCTGAAGACCTCCCACTCACTGCTAACAAAGCCATTCAGCGTATGCGTCGATTCCGCCAGTAACATCTTTGTGGTCGATCAGTTGAAAGTGATTAAATTTTCACCAGATGGTGAGACAGGAGAGGTAGTGTTGAGCAACCAAAGTCGGCTGAAGAGACCCCGTGTCCTTGCTGTGGATGACAGCGGGCGCCTTGTCCTGGTGCAAGAGGATGGTTACGTCCACATTTACTGCTTCTAGTTTAACTCTTGAAGAGTGAGGGCCAAGAGCTCAGAGTACCTGGTTCTGGAACCTCAGAGGTGAACAGCTGTAAGGAAATGGCAGCAGGGAAACACCTTTGCTTAAAGTGCATTTGGTAATTGACATTGATGGATGACAGGTGCCTTTGAACCATTTCATTTTAAAGTAGCATCTCTTCCCTGGCCCGTGCCTTACCTCTGCATCAGAGGCAAGCTGATAGAACTCCGCTTCCCACTTTCACTGTTCTGGAGTGTGTCCCAGATTAGGGGACCTCTCAGCATCCCCTTTGCCACCTTAGCCCAATGAGACACTGTACACCCCCTCCTCTTTGCCCCGTCTGCGTCCTCGTTGAGCAGGATGACCAGACATCGCCCGGGAACCTGAAGCCTGCCAAAGGCGGTGAGAATTTGGCTTCAGCATTGAAAGTATCCAGGGAACCTGACAGCCCCACAACTGTGAAAAGGCAAAAACAGCTAGAACTGTATTGGAAGATCTGGAGCAGAACGCGCCCAACCTTGCTGCAGCCCCGGGCTGGTCAGTGTTTCCATGGGGAAGGAAGTGTCAGTTGGCTCAGTTCAATGGGGGGTGCAGCCTCTTACATTCCTCCCCTGTCTAGCCTGTTGAATCCCAGCAGAGCAGTCTGTGCATGAGCAGGCCTCAGCTTTTGTTTATATTCGGGATACAAACTGAAGATTCCTGTTGCATTCCAGCTCGTCCTACTGTATTTTACACTAATAGAGCCCCATGCTATCCTTCATGAGCCATTTCCCAAGGTTTCTTGTTTTGCTTTAATAAAGCCTGGTGCCATTATGCGTGTGGCACATCTTGCTGAGGTGCCAGGGAGTGACTGGCACTGAGTTCTTACAGTGACATAAAGTTGAGGGATGTTTGCTGGAGCTTTCCCCTCTGCAGGTCAGAATGGGAGAGCACATTCACTGGCTTCTTATACTGCGCTGGCAAGAAATGTTCAGGTTCGTACAGTGAAGCTTTGTGGGTTCTATTCAGCCATTTGTCTTTGGGCTTTCCTTTAATGCTTGCTGCTAAACGTATTCTCTTACATGGATTCTCAGAAACCTAGCCACGTGTGTGCCATGGAGACATGCATTCTCTCACCCAGTCATGCACACACATGTTAATATTCACGTGTGTGCATACAGGCACGTCCTCACACGCCTTTGTACATAGAAATACACTTGTGTGCACATAGTCCATATGTTTGCCAGTAGTCCCTTGTCCTCATTTCTTTCCAAAATCATTGCGCCCCTTCTCTCTCCCACTCCTCCCATTTCATTTAACTGCCCAACTTCACTAAGATTTGTCATGGAGGGCCCTTTCCAATATTGTAGTGTCTGTGAAAATGCTCAGTGTGCATTGGGGATAAAATTGCACCCATACCTGATAATTAGGGACTGTCTCCGCCTTGCTCTAGGTCTAGGATGTCATGCCTGCGGTATGGAGCCCAAAATGGCCTTGGGTTATTTCACATTAACTTCCAACATGTTCATTCTGCCTCTCCTCACCCTTGCTGCCACCTTTATTCCAGTGTTAAACTGCCCTCCTGCCCATTTCTCTGTTATAGTAATAAAATAGCCTTTATGTAACACACTAGACAGCTTCATTCATTAGCTTAATAGATTCATCGTTGAACGTTAGAGGGGCCATTAGGTATAGTCTGGCCTTCGTGATCCCAGGCCGTTTGATTTAATCTACTTTCCCCTGTATTGAGCTCCTACTCCCCAGTAGCTTTTGGAACAGAGAGGCATCCAGTTTGAATATAAAAACATTAAGAGGTGGAGAATCCACAGCTTCCCTTGGGAGTTGGTTCCAATGGGTAATCACCCACAGGCCTTGTCTACACTAACTTCTGATGTCAATCCGCTTCAGCTGCGCAAGTAGCATAGCTGAAGTTGACATACCAACCGCCACATGTGGTAAGGTTGGCAGAGGCTGCTCTCCCATTGACGCTGGTTACTCTTCTTGTCCTGGTGGAGTACCAGCATTGATGGGAGAGTGCTCCTAGGTCGATTAATTGCATCTAAGCAGACACAATAAATCAATGGTTGATGGTTTGATCGCTGCAGCATCAATCCCTGACCTAGTGGAGACAAGCCCTCACTGTTGGACTGCCCTAGTTCTAACTGGAATTTGTCTGGCATCAGTGCCCAGTCATTAGGTCTGGTTATGCCTTTCTCCGCTAGTCAAGAGCCCTTTGTTTTCTTCCTGTGGAGGTGGTGAAAGGCTAATCAAGTCACCACTCAATTTTTCTTTGAAATAAGATAAACATGTAAGTTTCATGTAAGGGTGTGTCTACTCTGGCACTTGCTCAACAAAACTTTTATTGTTCATGGGTGCTTAATCCCCCTCCCCCCATGAATGACAAAGTTTAGCCCTAGTAAGTGCATGTGTAAATGCTACTTTGTAGGCAGAACCACTGACAACATGAAACCCACTTGTTTGGGGTGGAAGTATTAACAGCGTTCACAGCCCCTGCCCTTTGGCATTAGGGCTGTGTTGACATAGCCTGGTTGCTAAAAGCTGCGTAGCGTAGACAAACACTAAAAGAGCTTCAACCCTTATCCCGTTTTGTGGGTTTTGGAGCACGAGATGGTTATCTTGGCGACGGATCAGCTGCTGACTTTACTTGTGTTGATTGTATCTTTAAATGATGGCGAAGGTGCCTGGAGCTCAAGGCAGGGTATTGAAAAGATATTTTCTATAAGTCTCAATGAATGGGTGCTCCTCCAAATAGTCTAGCCTTTCTGTGCTGGGCTACTGTGCAAGTGTAGGCCCAAGGCCAGTGACAAAGTATGGGTATGGACCTGAAAAATTGCCCTTCTTTGATGGGTTGGGGACACAGATTCTCACTGAGGTCATTCCAAAGCTAGCCCCTTTGCACCCTGGGAGAGAAATGAATGTGCAACTACAGACAGGTTGTGCAAATCTACAGACCCACCCTGAAGATTTGTGGATCTAGTCCTGACCCAGAAATTCAGCGTTTGTGACCTACCTAATGGCGTTGGCCAGCTTTTGTTCCTGCTCACTCTCACGGGCTTATGTTTCCCTGAGGGTATGTCTACACTGCCACCCTAGTTTGAACTAGGGTGGCTAATGTAGTCATTCGAACTTGCAAATGAAGCCCGGGATTAAAATATCCTGGGCTTTATTTAAATGCTCCCGGGCACCACCATTTTTAAATGCCCGGTAGTTCGGACTCCCTGCATGCGGCACGGGCTAGGTACTTCGAACTAAAGCTCCAAATTTGGACTACCGTTACTCCTCATTGCAGGAGGAGTAACAGTAGTCCGAATTAGGGGCTTTAGTTTGAACTACCTAGCCCATGCCGCGTGTAGCCGTAGGCAGGGAGTCCGAACTACCGGGCATTTAAAAATGGCTGTGCCTGGGAACATGCAAATAAAGCCTGAGATATTTTAATCCCGGGCTTCATTTTCAAGTTCGAATGACTACATTTGCCACCCTAGTTCAAACTAGGGTGGCTAGTGTAGACATACCCTGATTAGTGTAGTGTCCAAGTCTCATTTATACTAATCAAGATAGAGAACTGGTTCCATTTTATAGGTCGGGTACTTGGCACAGAAAACTGCAGTAACTGGCCACAAGAAGGTCATAGCAGACCAGAGAACTGAACATGGATCTCTTCTGACACAAGATAGAGCCTTAACTGCAAAGCTGTGTTGCTTCCCTGGATGGTTGGTGACTGGACGAGGAAAAGCATGTCTGATGCATGGGCACAAGTCAGCACCTATCTTTTAGGAAAGTTTCCATGCAACTGGCCTAGAGTCTGATGGGGCAGCTGCCGTCAGCAACAGGAACATTGAGGAGGGAATGAGTTAACTTCCCAAGTTTGTCTGTTGGAATTTCCCCAAACCTGGAGGGAGCTTCTGTTACTTTGTGAGTTTACTAATTGAAAAAGGATAGAAGAACTTGTAGAGCGAAACAGCGTGGGAATGTAAGCGGCAGCTGAATGCAGTGAAGGGGAGACCTACAGTTCTGGAAGTTTTGAACAAGAAATGTTTGGTGAACAGATGAGATTTATCCTTCATCGCCATCCTCACCCACAGAGCAGATTTCTTAGTGTGGTGGAAAAAATGGCCTTTGCCACGCCACGCCTTTGTATGAGAGAGATCATAGGCTGTTTTGCCAGAGTGAAACCAACCACTATAGCACCACATCTAAGAACCAGGAAGTGTTATCGATGGCTGAGCTTCCTCTCCTGGGGAGAGGTGGTGGTGCTGGAGATAAAGTCACTGGGAAGCGCAGCGGATACGCTGTTTTCCTGACCCTTAAAAGACAGAACTGGTCTAAAAGTCAAGCTGTGCATGGGGTCCAAAGTACAGTAATCAAATCACTTTCACACACAACATGAGGTGTCAGGGAGTTCTATGAGGGAGCAGCATTCAGACCGGTGGGTGACTACACCCGCTTCCCTGCTGCATGCCAGGGCAGCCAGGCTAACATGTAGGCTTGGCCTGTCTCTTCCATGTGGGGTCCTAGAATGGACAAATTAAACTACCAGGCATTGAAGCCTGTTAAATAGTAACTCTCATGCCCTGCCGGCTGCCCTAGGGCTGGCTTTGGCTGTTTAGGTTTCTTTATAGCATAGTTTGTTCCTGATTTTAATATAATAAGGAGGCTGATTCCAAATGAGTCAATTTTTTATGTTTTTACATTTTTAAAATACATTCCTAGGCCATTTCTGAATTTCTGTTTTTCTTCTGTGGGACATTTGGTCTGAATTTACTGCTCTAAAAATGACAGGTGTTTAAAATTAAAGGTAATTTTGAAGAGAATTTAGAGGAGTGGAAACATTTGTCACCTATACATCTTGAGCCATTTAGTTCCAGCGTATTCAGTCCTGTGCTTAACTCCTCACGCGAATACTCAGGTGGCACATGGGGATGTTTTGGGGCCATAGAGGCCTGATATTGCTTCTCCTAGAACATAGGAGGCACTGCAGGTCTTCGGAGAGCCATTGGGAGCCATCTCAGATGTAGCACTTCCAGAATTCATGCCAGGAAGCAGCTGACAGGTTACACCCTTCATATCATGGGTTCCCAAACTGGGAGGGCGTGAAGAAATTCCAGGGGGGGCGCGAGGCAACGTAGCCTCCCTCCAGCCTCCATCAAGTTTTGTTGCCCTGTTCGGTTCCTTTTTTCCTTGGTTTTTTTTTGCTCAACAAGTTTTGCTGCTATTGGTGGTGGGGGAGACGTGAGGGTTTTTCAAAAATCAAAAAGGGAGGCATGATGCCAAAAAGTTTGGGAAGCACTGACCTACAAGGATCACTTCAGCTCCCTTCAGAAGAAAAAGGACAATAAACTATCCAAACTGCTACATGCCTCAGGATCTTTCATTCCAGATACTTTCAACTCCAAAAATCAAAAAGGGAGCGTGATGCATTCGGGCTCCCTCCCACCAGTAGCAAGTCCCTTGTGGTTTATCCAGGTGCACTGCCTGCTCCAGGAAAAGCAAAGGGTGTGTGTGTGACTCTGGGGTCACATCTCAGACACGCTGGATCATGCGTAAACACAAGAGGTCCAGGGCACATTAGACTAACATATTTGACAAAGTAGATTTGCCCTGTTGTGCTCCAGGGACTCATCCAATACTGCCCCATAAAGCAGACCCTGAGTTCTTTAGCTTCCTGGGGGAGGCTTTCACCTGCAGCTAAAGCCCCAGTTCTAGCCCCAGGACTGTATGTTTCCAGTACAGCTGATGCGTGTGACGGGACAGGTGAAATCAGGAATAAGGCCAAGATTGTGTTGTGCATTTTTGATAGAAGTTGCTGACAGGTCACAGGCAATAAAGAAAGTCAGGACTTCTCTTACTAAAGGGATGCCTGACAGCTCGTGGTGCAGAGCGCTGTGGTCTCCTTGCTGCCCGTGGTGGCAGGGAGCCCTGGGACACCACTGCAGCTGGGAGCTTGGGGCCTCTGCGGTTCTCAGCCCCCCCCCGCCCCCCTTCCTCCAGGCTGAAGCAAATCCTGCAGCTCCCAGGCACTGCGGGCTGAAGCGGTGTAAGCCTCTGAATGTAATGGAGTCTGGGACCTGATAAAATCATAGCCCTGCTGAGGAACTAGTTCTAATCTCAGTGTGAGCATCCCCTGCCCGGGTGGGCGCAGCTGTGGAGACTGGTGTTGAGGGTTTCTGTACAGACGAGGTAACATCACATACACAGGGGCTGTGTCTACATTGGCATGATCTAAAACTTGCTGCCTGTCTACACTGGCCGCGTGTTCTTGTGCAAGTACACTGATGTTCTAATGTGTGAAATCAGAGCTTCTTGCACAAGAACTCTGATGCTCCCACTCAGGATTAAGCCCTTTTGCACAACTGTTCTTGCACAAGAGGCCAGTGTAGACAGGCAACATGAATTTCTTGTGCAAGAAAGCCCGATGGCTAAAATGGCCATCAGCGCTTTCTTGCGCAAGAGAGCGTCTACACTGGCACGGATGCTCTTGTGCAAAAGCAGATGCCAGTGTAGGCGCTGTCTTCTGGAAGAGTGTTTGCACCAGAACTCTTCTTGCGCAAACAGCTGCCAGTGTAGCCGTAGCCAGGCTGTTTGTATCATTCTTATGAGCTGCCAGGGGGACTAGGCAGGAGTGTCGCAGGCGAGCGGGACCAGGCTCATGGCAGCTGAAGCCTGATGCACGCAGGCTGGCGTTACGTGAAGGAGGATGTGCACAGGTGAGCAGGCTGGGGAAGATGTGGGGAGAACAAGCCCAGGTGTCTGAGGCACAGGTGACAGGTCTGGCCCTAGGGCCTTGTTTCTGTTCAGGCTTTCCTGTGCCGTGCTTGCTCCTCCAGGAGCCTGGCTTGAAAGCGCTGTCAGACTAACCTCGGCCATAACTCAGCCCTGCCCACACTCCTGATTGAGCCTGGTCGGTGCAGGGCACAGCTGGCAGTGAGCAGCCCCGGGCGCAGCGCTCCTGCAGGAATCCAGCACACGTGCCAGCCGCAATGTCATTCCAGTACTTTATTGTATTTGTTCACACAGCACAGGGAGCACAGCGACCCACAGTGAACGGCACTAACACTTATGCCCTAGGAGGGCTCGTTGCTGACTCCGGGAGACCTGTCCAGGGTGGCATCTCCTCACTGGCTTTTGTCAAGTGGCTGTTCAAGTCTTAGTGCAAGTGTGAAATGTACAATCTGGCCAGATCTGCCTAGGCACCTGGGGGCCACAAACAGGGCAGAGTGAATGAAGGGGTGCAAAGATACAGACCTGTGAGCACACAGCAAGGTGCCTCTACACAGGCATGCAGTAGGGTCTAGCTGCACAGACAGGCAGGCTTGGACACACGCACGTGCAGGAACCGTAGCAAGCAATGGGGCATGGCCGCACACACACAGGCAGATGTCTCCAGCCATGGGGCTATGGCTGAGCTGCAGCGTTGGCTGCTGTCAAGTGGCCACGCGTCTATTCCCAGTTCTGACATAAGCAGGGTGTGACCTAGAGCAAATTGTTTCTGCTCTGGCCTATGTTTCCCTACCTGCCCTTAGTCCTGTCTGTGCTGGCCTGGCTTGTTACTGCATGTGTAGCGCTGGCTGTAGTCTCTGCTGCACTCTGAGTGCTGAGCTAACAAAAGGCTGCTTTGACAGCTGTGTGCTGGTGACCGTAGGGTAGGCAGCACTGGTGGGATCTGGCGCCGGGGGCTTAGCTCCTACCCTCGCTAGTGACAAAGAAGAGGAAGGAAACAACAGTAACGGACACAGCCGCTGCTCACCTCAAGGGCAGAATGACAGAGCAGGGCCGACAGCACATGGACCAGGACAGCGACTAACAGCATGAGCTGTCCTGGCTCCATGCCAGTAACTGATCCGCAGAACAACACGGGGCAAAGAAGGAGGGAGCAGGTGTGACAACCAAGCCCGCATGCGGGAATTCTCACTACGATCTCACGGCATAAAGAGCAGCACGGTTTGGGGCTGCACCCGGCCGTAGCAGGTGCCAGAGTAAGGGGGGACTAGTTCTTTATCCAGCACGACTGTGGCTTTTGTACAGTTGCTCCTTTAATGCTGCGCGTGGTCTGGGAACCCTTCCCCTAGTATCTGCACCATGAGGAGACTTCAGAAAAGAGTCTGTGGTCGGGGCAGAGAAGACAAAATTGGGGGAGTGGCTGAGCAGTCTAAATCTGCCTAGTTCGGATCAGGGCCGGCCACTCACACATTCTCCCCCCGGCCCCCACAAAAAGTCATCACCCAGACAAACACATTTCTGTCCCTATCTAGCACTTACACTCATCTGTGCTACACACCCCTTCTACCTACCCTGTGTGCACAGCTGTCCACGTGCCCCGAGTCACGCCGTGCACCGTCCCATACCCCTCCGGCTGCTCGCCCTTCTGGGGGTGAGGCCATGGTGCCCCACTGAGCTGCTGGAGGGACGCGTGGCATGGGTCACCCTGGCAGGCTTAGCATCTCAGGGACACGTGCCCAGGCTCTCAGAGGCAGTGCCTGCTAGGGCTTGGATCCCGAAGGAGCAGCTCTACCCCAGAGCTATGGAAGCCTCTGCCAGGAGCAGCCAGCCTGCCAGACAGCAGAGACTCACATGAGAAACATTGCTTTTGCTCCAGACACATCAGGGTCTCCCCAGAGCAGCGAGGGGTTCTCAACAGGGCCAGGACATGCTCACCTTCCTCTTCAGTCCTCAGAGCAGGGACTGCAGTGTGTCCAAGGGATGCAGAGCTGGAGACTTTGCCTGCTACTTGGAAAGTTAAATCGAATCAACCCAGGAGCTGCATACTCCTTGCCAGGGCTCAGGCCAGCTGGCCTGAGTAACGTGCAAAGGCCGGCTGCCGTTGGGTCAAGGCAGCGTGCAAATTTCTGCTCTTCCCTGGGTGAAGAGGGGTTGGCGCATGGCCTTGCCCTGCCTCACATTGGCGGTGCTCCGGGGGCCTGCCCAGGCCTAGATCAGGTTGGCCATGCTGGAGGTGGTGGCGAGCCGGTGGTTGTCGGAGAGCCGGCCGGAGATGGTGAAGATGCTCATGTCATCTGTGTCCAGGCTGCGGGGAGCCCCGGGGCAGCAGGAAGCGCTCAGCTTGTAAAGTAGCAGGCACAGCATAACGGCAACCCCTGCCGCCATGAGGATGATGCCGCTGGTGAACATGCTGGCCAGAGGCCGGGCCGGGCTGAGCTGCATGGTCGTGGTGGAGAGGACAGTGAGGACCATGCCGCAGACCAGCAGCACCAGGGCACTGAGCAGCAGCACCACACAGTCTGAAAAGCCTCCACTCTTCAGCAGCTGGATCTGGCTCCTGCTCTGGATGCAGTTCATGTCCTGGATGGCAGAGCTCAGAAGCTGCTTCAGCAGCACCAGGAGGGCCAGGAGGCAGAGGGTGGTGCCCACCGCCAGCCGCCACTCCCCGGATCGGCTGCTGGTGCTGTAGAGCAGGACAATGCCCCCCACCCCACAGGCCAGAATGAGCACCACGGCAACCCCATAGCACAGGATGGATTTCTTAGGGTCCTTGAACCACCACAGCTCCACATGCTCCTCAAGGATGTTCCTCTGGATGTGGCCAGCATTTGCCAGAGGCCTGGGCGCAGGGAGCTGCGCCAGCTCGGGCATGGTGGGGGCTGGAGGGGCTGGGCAGGGAGTGCTGCAGTGATCCCAGGGGCAGCCTAGCCGGGGCACTCAATGCCTCAGCAGCTGTGAAGGCTGCAGCATTTCCCTGCTCGGTTTGTGCCCCTGATGCCTGTGGCCGCTGTCGGTCAGAGCTGCAGTACGGCGGGGGTGCCCATCACTGCGTCAGTGCCTTGCAGGAGAGACTGGCTGAGGGAGAGGCTGGACTTTGTGCGGTGAGCTGAGGTGCCGCTGGATGGGCCCCAGGCCAGCGGCTGGTTTTTCTGGAAAAGGCCAGAAAAGAACAGTGTCACTGAGCAAAGCCCCTGCTCCCAAACCCCTCCACCCACACCTAGTCGCCAGGGTGGGGGGTCAGAGACATGCCCCAAATCCCACCCCTGTGGCTCAGGCCAGGCCCCCTGCTGAGTTCTACTCACTGGTGTTGCAGTCTGGCCATCTCTGTTCAGTGATGCCGATCTCGGGGGAGACGGCCACTGTGGGGCTCCCGTCCCTCCAGACACACTGGCTCAGGGCTGCTCCAGTGTCCCTGCTCGCTGCTCAGCAGGACTGCGACTGCAGCTGGACGCGGGCAGCACAGACAGAGGCAGGGCCCATGCGGTGATAAAGCCTCATTCACGGCCCCAGCCTCACATGCTCCCTCAGCAGCAGCTGCCTCTTGTCACCAACTGGCTCCCCAGCCCCGCCTGACAGCAGAGGGAAGGGTCCAGGGCTTAACTCTTGCGTGGTCGCCCTTCCCGGGGAGGGACTGAAATGGAGCGTTGAATTGGCTGCGCCTTTCTGCTGCTGCAGCCCGAGCCCTGGGTCGCTGTCAGCCCAGCCTGGATCTCGGCCCCGGGGACAGTAACAGGTCCCACAGATGCTGCCCCACACACACATAACGTGTGCTCATGTCTGCCCCTCGCCCCCCCCACTACCTGACAATGTGCACATGGTGGCTGCGCCCCACAAGTCCCCTGCATGGCCTGTGGTCTTGCTGCACACTCACCTACACCAACACACGTACAGCATGTGGGCTGTGCAGGGGAAGCTATGCTCCTTCTGGATTTGATTATGCAAATAAGCCCCCACCTCACCCTGCCTCGCTTTTCCCTGTCACTTCAGTCTCTTGCTAGGGACGGCTGTGCCCTCCTCCCTTAGCTCTAGGGCAAAGTCGCTGCACTGCTAGCAGGAACCACCTGCATTGCTGCAGCAGTGGATTCACAGCATGTGAAAGGCCTCGGTGGGTGTAAAACCAGCATGGGGTGTGCCAGGAAAAGGGGGAACACGCCCGTGCCATGGAGGGAGCGGGTGCCAGGTATGTATTGGGCGATGCCTTTGCTCAGTTGTGAACAACTTGGGGCCCATGGGCAAGTCTAGGCACATAAACTGATTAAATGATGAATTGATACGCCTTGGCTTATCAGTTACCACTAGCTGCTGTGAGCTGCTGCCGCTGGTCTTAAAAGCGTCTGGGGATGGAGATTCCACCACTTCCCCAGGGCTTCACCCCCCCCGCCTAGGGAAACAGTTTTTCCTAATCTCCCACCTAGACCCCCCCACTGCAACTTGAGACCATTGCGCCTCGATCTGCCATCCGGCACTACTGAGAACAGCCTCGCTCCAGCCTCTGGAACCTCCCGTCAGGTAGCTGAAGGCTGCTCGCCAATCCCCCCTCTCTCTGCTCGTCTGCAGACTAACTAAGCCCAGTTCCCTCAGGTGCGCCTCAAAAGTTACGTTGCCCACTTGCCTAATCATTTCCATTGCCCTCCTCTGGACTCACTCCAGTGCAGCCATGTTCTCTTTGCAGTGGGTGGGAGGGGAGAACTGGAGGCAAAACTCCAGATGTGGCCTCCCCAGACCCGAATAAAGGGGACGAATCACTTCCCTAGAGCTGCTGGCAATGCATCTCCTACTATGCTAGTTGCCTTCTTGGCTACCAGTGCACCCGTCGATTCCTGTCTAGCTTCTCATCCATTGTAAACCCCAGGCCTGTTTCGGCACTCGAACGGGGCCTTCTGCAGTGTGCTGTCTGCCTGGGACCAAAGGGCATGAGCTCATAGAAACTAACTGCCCAGAGCTATACTGCAACAAGGAATTGTCTCGCCTGGCACTCTGCCTGCCCTATAAACAGCACCAAGCCCCTGTTACCTTGGGGCTGGGGTCCCCCATTGCCTCCTAGGGTCAGTCTTGAGGGCCTTTCCAGACTAAAGGGCTAGGCTGAGCTCACTGCATACAGTTAGGCTCCTGGCATTGCTCTGTTTGCCCTGCACACGCGCCCAGTGCACGACCCTGTCATCCAGTTCTATGTCAGGGCGTCTCTACACCGCTCCTCCCTACATGCCAGGGGCTCTGTGTAGGCCCCCCCTCCAGTGCCCCCATAGACGTCACTAGCCCCTTACAGCCCTGGACTCTCTGCAGGAGCTAGGGGAGGGGGCTGAGCTAGGGATGGCAGAGCATAGCCATGTAAATGGGTTACCAACTGGCTACACAGCTACACGTGGCTCCCAGTCCGGCACCTGGGGGCTGGCTGCTGCCCTCTGTGTAACCACATTTCTTCATAGGCACTCACGCTCCTTTTAACAGCCCTCCAGTGGGTTCTGCTGCAGCCCAAACAGTGGCCACGTGAGGCTTCTCTTCAGCTAGGCCAGGTGGCCAGCGAGCCAGACACTGCCTGACCGTGTCAGGGCAAACGCTTCCACGCTCTGGCCCCGACTCGCTGGAGCATGAGGTCACTGCTAAAGCTATCAGCACAACAGCCATTGTTCAGGGCTCACCACAGCCGGTCACATGGCAGGGCCGATGCAGAGCGCTGCTGCTGAGGCACGTCGCTAGTTGAATTGCTCAACCTTTGCTCTGTGCTAAGCCCCTCCTGCGCCTGTGGACCTTGGACGCTCCTGGGCACGACAGGCTCCAGAACACGGGCGGTCCCAGAATTTGTGCAGGGTTCAGTGACCATGTTCAAAACAATTATAGCCCTGCTGTGCTTGCCCAGGCCCAGTGCTGTTGGTGACTCATTTTAAGAGGGATAAGGGATCTTTTGGAAAAGGCTTTATTTTCCAAAAGATCCGCGTCTAGACTGGCGCTTTTTTCCGGCAAA